AGGAACCAAGAAACTTTCTTCATTTTCAGAACTGTGGAAATCTAGACTTGCCACATAGTCTAGACCTGCATGGGCTTTCTTGGACATATTTGTTTCAGGGTATGTATGACAGAGTAGGCTTACCCTAAGCCGTAGACCGGCATTACAATGAATGTTCAGTCAAAGTATTGGAAACTGACTTTCGTTTGCAAAATACCTATCATAAATCTCACACACGTCTTTGTTTCTATTTTTTGATAAAGTGAAGTCGGTGATAACTTTCTTTTAGCCGGTAGTGTATATTATCTTTGTGAGAAGCTATCTATACATTGGGCTACATTTTGTGTCCTCTAGCGGCAACTTGAGTTATCTTTTAACCAGTGGATTCCCCATCAAGTTGTCAGAAATGCAATGAGACCACACATAACAAATATACGAAATACAAAATGTAACTTGTACATAAGTTTTCTTTTAGTCAAAAGCTTATAAGGCCATTATGGAAACCAATGAAAATATGTTTGGTGTCAGGCACGTACAGAGTTCGGAGCAGGTCCTTAGTAACCCATGTTTGTTGAAAGTGTCGTCATGTCTTTACGACGTGGATCTGTACAACGTACTGTCAACGACCGATGATGTGTTATATACAGTTCAGTGTGATAAAGCTTGAACGTTGCTGTAATACATTCATTCGCTCATGTTATGGTGTAATCAGATGACGAAGTGCCAGGCGAGAAGCTATGTTATAATGTAATAAGGGTATTCGGGAGGAGAGGGAAAGGAGAGGGGCATATTCAAATATTCAGGTTCTTGTTTTCAAATTTAAAACATATATGTAACTGTATAGAATATCTAGTTTCTTTACAGACATGTCAGTAGAGAGAGCTGACAAAACGCTGAGGCAAGTGGCCATCAGAATGTGGCAGACGTTTGTATCACTGGATGTGATATTTCTCGAGGTAATATTATACAGGTTCCGCCTTTTCCTGGCCACATATATCGACACTTGTATACACAGGGCATACCCCCACTCAGGTACACCTGTACCTGACAATTCTATAAACAAAGACTATTCAAGGGTAGGCGTGTCTGTAGTTGTAAACGGGGAATACCCTCACCCGTGTACACATTCAGCTGATAGCTGAAAACAAGGACTGCCGCTCTACGGCAAAGATCACCTGATTCCCGGATATCAGTGTGTCGCGGTGACCACGTCAATTAAAAGCGCTCAATAACAATGAAACAAGGATTAAGGTCATACTTCTAGTGTAACTGTCATTTGCTGATCCAGTGAACAATCCCTGAATAACATACACACATTGGGGGCATGACAACACACAATCAGACATACAGGTAAACCTTGGGGCCATGACAACACACAATCACATATACAGGTAGCATTTACACCTTGGGGCCATGACAACACACAATCAGACATACAGGTAAACCTTGGGGCCATGACAACACACAATCACATATACAGGTAGCATTTACACCTTGGGGGCATGACAACACACAATCAGACATACAGGTAACATTTACACCTTGGGGCCATGACAACACACAATCAGACATACAGGTAGCATTTACACCTTGGGGGCATGACAATACACAATCAGACATACAGGTAACATTTACACCTTGGGGCCATGACAACACACAATCAGACATACAGGTAACATTTACACCTTGGGGGCATGACAACACACAATCAGATATACAGGTAACATTTACACCTTGGGACCATGACAACACACAATCAGATATACAGGTAACATTTACACCTTGGGGCCATGACAACACACAATCAGACATACAGGTAACATTTACACCTTGGGGCCATGACAACACACAATCAGACATACAGGTAACATTTACAACTTGGGGGCATGACAACACACAATCAGATATACAGGTAACATTTACACCTTGGGGCCATGACAACACACAATCAGATATACAGGTAACATTTACACCTTGGGGCCATGACAACACACAATCAGACATACAGGTAACATTTACACCTTGGGGGCATGACAACACACAATCAGACATACAGGTAACATTTACAACTTGGGGGCATGACAGCACACAATCAGACATACAGGTAACATTTACACCTTGGGGCCATGACAGCACACAATCAGATATACAGGTAACATTTACAACTTGGGGGCCTGACAACACACAATCAGACATACAGGTAACATTTACACCTTGGGGGCATGCAACACACAATCAGACATACAGGTAACATTTACACCTTGGGGCCATGACAACACACAATCAGATATACAGGTAACATTTACAACTTGGGGGCCTGACAACACACAATCAGACATACAGGTAACATTTACACCTTGGGGCCATGACAACACACAATCAGACATACAGGTAACATTTACACCTTGGGGCCATGACAACACACAATCAGACATACAGGTAACATTTACACCTTGGGGGCATGACAACACACAATCAGATATACAGGTAACATTTACACCTTGGGGCCATGACAACACACAATCAGACATACAGGTAACATTTACACCTTGGGGCTATGACAAAACACAATCAGATATACAGGTAACATTTACACCTTGGGGGCATGACAACACACAATCAGACATACAGGTAACATTTACACCTTGGGGGCATGACAACACACAATCAGATATACAGGTAACATTTACATCTTGGGGGCATGACAACACACAATCAGATATACAGGTAACATTTACACCTTGGGGCCATGACAACACACAATCAGACATACAGGTAACATTTACACCTTTGGGCCATGACAACACACAATCAGAGATACAGGTAACATTTACACCTTGGGGGCATGACAACACACAATCAGACATACAGGTAACATTTACACCTTGGGGCCATGACAAAACACAATCACATATACAGGTAACATTTACACATTGGGGCCATGACAACACACAATCAGACATACAGGTAACATTTACACCTTGGGGCCATGACAACACACAATCAGATATACAGGTAACATTTACACCTTGGGGGCATGACAATACACAATCAGACATACAGGTAACATTTACACCAAGGTTAACACTGACATATACTAGACCACTAAACACTGATACACAGTCACAACGTTAACACTGACATATACTAGACCACTAAACACTGATACACAGTCACAAGGTTAACACTGACATATACTAGACCACTAAACACTGATACACAGTCATAACGATAACACTGACATATACTAGACCACTAAACACTGATACAGAGTCACAACGATAACACTGACATATACTAGACCACTAAACACTGATACAGAGTCACAACGATAACACTGACATATACTAGACCACTAAACACTGATACACAGTCACAAGGTTAACACTGACATATACTAGACCACTAAACACTGATACAGTCACAACGATAACACTGACATATACTAGACCACTAAACACTGATACACAGTCACAACGTTAACACTGACATATACTAGACCACTAAACACTGATACAGAGTCACAAGGTTAACACTGACATATACTAGACCACTAAACACTGATACAGAGTCACAACGATAACACTGACATATACTAGACCACTAAACGCTGATGCACAGTCACAGCGTTAACACTGACATATACTAGACCACTAAACACTGATACACAGTCACAAGGTTAACACTGACATATACTAGACCACTAAACACTGATACACAGTCACAACGTTAACACTGACATATACTAGACCACTAAACACTGATACAGTCACAGCGATAACACTGACATATGCTAGACCGCTAAACACTGATACAGTCACAAAGTTAACGCTGACATATGCTGCAGACCACTAAACACTGATACAGTCACAACGATAACACGACATATATGCTAGACCACTAAACACTGATACAGTCACAGCGATAACGACGGCGACATATATGCTAGACCACTGAAACTTGCTGTTTACACAGTCTAGTATATGTCAGTGTTAACACTGACTGTATGCTGTTTAGTGGTCTACTGATAGTATTAAGAGTCACAACGTTATCGTTTGACTGATTATATATGTCAGACCGCTGTCGACTGCATCAGTGTTTAGTGGTAGTATGTTTGAAGTGTTAACGTTGTGACTCTGTATCAGTGTTCAGTGTCTAGTATATGTCACGTTATCGTTGTGACTGTATCAGTGTTTAGTGGTCTAGTATATGTCAGTGTTATCGTTGTGACTGTATCAGTGTTTAGTGGTCTAGTATATGTCAGTGTTAACGTTGTGACTGTATCAGTGTTTAGTGGTCTAGTATATGTCAGTGTTAACGTTGTGACTGTATCAGTGTTTAGTGGTCTAGTATATGTCAGTGTTAACGTTGTGACTCTGTATCAGTGTTTAGTGGTCTAGTATATGTCAGTGTTGACTCTGTATCAGTGTTTTAGTGGTCTGTATATGTCACGTGTTTAGTCAGGTCTAGTATATGTCAGTGTTATCGTTGTGACTGTATCAGTGTTTAGTGGTCTAGTATATGTCAGTGTTATCGTTGTGACTCTGTATCAGTGTTTAGTGGTCTAGTATATGCCTGTCAGTGTTAACGTTGTACATGTGTATGAGAATTTACACATATATGTTGTCAAGGGAAGGTATATGTAAAACAGTGTTTGAGAGTTCACGTTGTGTCTTCATGGGTGTACATATTCATGTATGTTTTAGTGTTTAAGTATATGTTAACGTTGTCACTTTCATATAAGTGGATTAGTGTCACGTTATTACTGTATATATTGTTACAACAATCTGGGAATGTATTGTACACGAAGTAACACATTTGAGCCTTATATGCCTTGACAGCCTGTCACAATAATCGGCCTGAAGAAGCGGTGGAGCAGTTGGAAAATGAATAGAACTTCCAAGAAAGCAACGTAGTTGTTAAATGAATGCAGCCAGAACACCTCCAAATCGAATGTTTTCTCAATGTCACGTGCTTTAGTAACACGTCTTATGATTGGTCCTTGCGTCATGGTCCCACATCAGATGATCATCACAATGTTTTGACGTGATAGCTTCGCATAATCCCATGGCATAGTTAAACGTGACAAGAAGAGACCTTGCGCCACAACCATTTCAAAAATCAGAAATTATACATACATTCTACAAAATCAACGTAAACTCAGCAGCCACGGTGAGTGTTTATCAGTGGTTTTCTCTGCAGCGGGAGATTGTAATGGACTTTGCCCCTAGTATTTCTATATTTATCACACGCGTTAAATGGGGGTATCGAGATCTATATATTCCTTCGCTATAAGGCATTCACTACAATGATTTCAGAATTAATCAATTCACTCATAAGTTAGTGTAATTGATTTGTAAGGATTAAGCTTGCTTCATTTTGTGCTAATTTAGGTTAATCACATTAAATTATTCAGGTGTTACTTGATCACCAGCAGGTATGTTTAATAAGGTTAGTATAGGTAATCAAATGCCAATTGCTTATAAAAAATGGTGTATCAAACGGAAAATCCAGTGTATTTCATATACGTTTATGCTGATGTTCTAAGATTTATTTGAGAATGACACTCTCTCAACCACTGCATACTAAAAGTAACTTCATCAGTATCTATGCTTAGTTATAACATCTTTTAATTATACAATTATAGTAAAGTCCCTGAAGAAAAACACTGACAAAAACTATTCTACTTCAGTCTCACCCCTTCTTCAAATCCAGGTATAAAATGCATGTGTTTTGGGCATCTTATTGACAAGTATTCTCATGTATCTTTTGATATTTTCACAGGACAAAGTAAATGTTTAATTCAATGCTTAACACACCCACCCTCATGCCTGTAGCTGCATGCCTGTCGAAGTGCCCGTGGTGAGACACACAGTCTCTTTAATCTCTACACCCAATCTCATGTTAACAGCATCACGACAAGGGTCACCTGGCCCATTCATCATTCATTGCGAATGTGATGTTCCACCAACAAAACTATAGGGACCAAGGCTCCTGACAAAAACAGCACCCCTATATATGTTGTAGATCTATTTACATTGTAATGTAATAACAAGCAATATTGAGTTTTGCATTATTAATACAATTTTGATTTACAGCTGGCTCATATCCATCTCAATGAAAAGACAATAACTGTATTTGTCAGCAGTGCAAGATATATGTTTGTAATTGAAGACAAATTTCGGTCATTCTAGTTCAATGAACATTTGATGATGAGAGTAATTGTATGTGTTTATGATTTGTGTTTCAATTTGCAATTATATAAATGGTATACAGTTGGCATTGCTGCCATTGCACCTTACACAACTATGTTGAAGGAAATGCTTGTCAGTAACAACCTTTTCAGAATGTTTCACCAGACCATACCTGTAAATATATTGATTACAAATTTAAAAACTATACAATCAAATATGCTTCTGACATCTTTTGTACACTGAGTAAAGAAAACAATTCAGGGATAGCTTAACATGACAGTCTGGTCCACTGAAAGTCAAATTGTAAAGTTACTGTAAACCAGAACTTTGTCCCTTGTTGTCTTACCTTGTCCCTCATTATCTTACCTTGTCCCTCATCTTACCTTGTTCCTCATTATCTTACCTTGTCCCTCATCTTACCTTGTCCCTCATTATCTTACCTTGTCCCTCATCTTACCTTGTCCCTCATCTTACCTTGTCCCTCATTATCCTACCTTGTCCTTCATTATCTTACCTTGTCCCTCATTATCTTACCTTGTCCCTCATTATCTTACCTTGTCCCTCATCTTACCTTGTCCCTCATTATCTTACCTTGTCCCTCATTATCTTACCTTGTCCCTCATCTTACCTTGTCCCTCATTATCTTACCTTGTCCCTCATTATCTTACCTTGTCCCTCATTATCGTACCTTGCCCCTCATCATCTTAACTTGTCCCTCATTATCTTACCTTGTCCCTCATCTTACCTTGTCCCTCATCTTACCTTGTCCCTCATCTTACCTTGTCCCTCATTATCTTACCTTGTCCCTCATCTTACCTTGTCCCTCATCTTACCTTGCCCCTCATCATCTTACCTTGTCCCTCATTATCTTACCTTGTCCCTCATTATCCTACCTTGTCCCTCATTATCTTACCTTGTCCCTCATCTTACCTTGTCCCTCATCTTACCTTGTCCCTCATTATCTTACCTTGTCCCTCATTATCTTACCTTGTCCCTCCTGAAGCTACAGGGCGGTGGGGTAGCCTAGTGGTTAAAGGGTTGGCTCGTCACGCCGAGGACCCGGGTTCGAATCCCCACATGGGTACAATGTGTGAAGCCCATTTCTGGTGTCCCCCGTCGTGATGTTGCTGGAATATTGCTAAAAGCGGCGCAAAAACCAAAACTCAGTCAGTCAGTCCTGAAGCTACATTTTTCGTCGCACATAGTTTGACTTGTTTACAAATGAGGGTAGGATTTGTTTTCAGAACTCATTATGATTTCATCTGAAAGTTTGTATTGATGCCAGGCTCCACTGGTGATATTGACGGGGGACTTGGTTCAACATGTGACACCTTGACATGTTGCTGTGTTAAGAAACAGTATTGTATGTTTTGCTTATTTTGCAGTGGGAATATAATTTAGTTTTGAAAATATATGTAACATTCTAGCAACTGAAAAGTTCTGTATACTGAAAGTACCATTACAAATTCACATCAGTGAAAGTTACAGAAAGCATGTCAAAATTGTGGAAATTATTTGTGTGTTTTGTGTAAAAGTAATTCTCAAAAGAATTTTTTTCTACTGCCAAAGCTAATTTATGTGTCACTGCAAAATTATTGTGTGTGCAATGGGTTGAATTGCAAGACAATAACAATGATTAGGCTGGAACTGAAAAAATAATGAGACAAGCTTAACACAGGAATGTATTCAGGTAACCTATTGCAGAGGTGAAAAAAGTAATCTCAGATGACTTAATGATTTGATATTTTACCCACCTAATTCAGCCCAAAGGTTTAATCCAAGAAATGCAGATATGTAGTATCATCTGCAGACAGTGACAAACAAAACATTTATTAGATTCCACAAGTATAATTTTTTTATTCAAAGCTAATAAATACATTTTGTATAGGAAAGGGGGAAAGAGTATCTAAAGTGTATGTGTGACCAGCTTGATGATGTAATATGGTCAGAAATTGCATTGATTTTTAAAATGTAATGATGTCATGGTTCAGTTGCCTGTGTTGTGTCCAATATGAACTCTTCTGCTGTGTGTTAGCACATGCCTGGTGCATGATCAGTGGGTGAGTCTATTGATGACCAAGGGGTGACAATCAAACTCAGCTGTTGCATGTTCTGATGAGCCAATGGGCAATCAGATGAAGTAAGATGTGACATATGACCTGGCCACTGATTGGTTCCTGTATCCTTTACAAGCCATGTGCTCTGGGAGTAAGCCATTCTAGTTGGTGGCTCTTCACTTGGAAAGTGAGTGACTGAAATTTCTGAGTGGGGACTCGATTTTCCTGTTGATATTTTCTTGGCTGTTTACACTGAGGTATGTTGTTTGTGTTCTGCTGTGGAATTAAAATTGTCAATGGTGTTTCCATTTTTTGTCATGTGACTAGTATATGTTTTTCAAGTTGTCCAGCCATGACTTCTGACTGCTCTGCATGAGTGAAAGATTGTTCCAATATTGACTGACTTTGCCACATCCTTGGTTGTAAGTGGGACTCAAACCATCATGTCTCCTAACCCAACTTCTTGTTGGAATAGTTTGTTGTTGCATTGTGTTCAAACCAGTGATGTTCCACTGAAATGTTATTTCATTTTTTATAAATTGGTTATGTTTTAGCAGTGCAGTGTTGGGTTGTTAATATCTAAAGCCTAGTCAGTTCTAGAGAAACCCTCTTTTATATCATCTGTGTATTCAGAAGGTGCAATGAAGTCCTTATTGTTTTTACTTTTTGTTAATATGTACATATGAACATGTTCATCATTGGGAATATGCCACCTCTTGTGTGTCCTTGGAACTTCCTAGAATGTATCAACCCTTTAACATACAAATGTCCTGGCTATTCTGTTCACATCATGGTATCTCATTTTCTGGTCAGAGTTCCTTACGTACACCCCACCTAATATTTTTTACCTAAATACAAAGATATACAAGTAATGAAAAGTACCTTATAAAATAGGCTGGGGGTACGTAAGGAACTCTTTCCCATTTTCCTTTTGTTTGTTTTCATGAGAAATATTTACGAAAGTATGAACAAAACTTACTCGTGCTTGGAAATACGGAAATACTAGGCAAAGACATAATATAAGCAGCTTGCTGAAAAACGAGAGGGTGGTGACATGACTGATTCCTCGTGTAAACCAATATCCTATGTCATGATGCACTTTTAGTTCTTGAATTTAAAAAAAAAAGTTTGGTACTGCTCATCGATGGAAATGTTTGTTTTCCGTTTTGATGCTCCATCATCAACAATCTATTCAATCCTTTTCCACAAACAGAAATAAGGGCATTTGCTTGTCTTTAATAAAAAATCAGTTATTGGCACAGTCAACTTTTTAATGGAACATTAGAGATAATACATGAAAAAATAACAATAACCCATTGGTGGCAGGTGGCTGAAAACTCAATTAAAACCCACAACTAGTTCTGTTACTCACAACAATGGAGTGTGCCGATAGGGTTGAGGATGGTAAGGTTGACACTGGGTAGGGTGGAGATGCTGGAGCAGGTTCTGGTTGATGGATAGCCTTCAGCAGGGATGGTGTAAGTGTAGGATTTGTCAGAGGGGAGCATGCGCAAGAGTAGAGTTGAGGATTGGAGTCCTTGTGTAAGTGAAGGGTACAGAAGGCGCCAAGGGTAAAGTGGATTTGTTATGTTTATAATTTAAGGATCAGTAGTTTATCGAAGTTGTGAATTGGATGTCAAACCAAATATGCTCCAGGGTATGTCCGAGCATTCAGGGTTCAGCAGACAACTTGTCCCAGCAAAGTAATAATTATGTATTGTGAAAGCTAAGAATAACAATTTACAAAGAAAGACCTGCTTTGTTTTGTACTGCTGTTGAATAAGTGCTTGAGGCTAACAGTGGACCTAATTTCCCTGTGGCAGATACTGGAAATGCCGGCCCATGTGATTGAAGAAACACCCTACCAGGGAGGAGCAGCTCCCTGCAAGCTTGCCAATACTCTGGACAAACCATCTCTAGGGATGGCAACCTGTACAGAGGATGTGGTTATCACAGGCATTTCCTGTCGACTGCCAGAGTCCGACAACATGACTGAGTTCCGCCAGCATCTGTTGCTTAAAGAAGACATGATCACAGATGATGATAGGAGATGGCCAGCAGGTAATTAATTTGGAATATAGATCAAGTTTTAAGTGCAAGGGCCAGAATGGGAAGACTGCAAAACACCCATAAACTGGTTCCATAGGAAGTAATTTGAAGCAAGTGTAAAATAGTAAGAGCAGGCCTGGCCATGTTCATTCAATAAATGACATGTTCAAGGATTCCTGCCCTGTTTCCTGGTTACATTAGTAGGATGGTGGGCAGCACTGGGGGATCAGTTAGACAGGGGCAGCACTGGGGGATCAGTTAGACAGGGGCAGGGGCAGCACTGGGGGATCAGTTAGACAGGGGGGCAGCACAGGGGCAGCACTGGGGATCAGTTAGACAGGGGCAGCACTGGGGATCAGTTAGACACTGGGGGGCAGCACTGGGGGATCAGTGAGACAGGGCAGCACTGACTGGGGATCAGTTAGACACAGGGGGAGCACTGGGGGATCAGTTAGACAGGGGCAGCACTGGGGGATCAGTTAGACAGGGGCAGCACTGGGGGATCAGTTAGACAGACAGATAATTTATTCAGTATAAAGACCAAAGGCCCATAATGCAAAATAAATTAGTTGAAATAAGAGCACATAAAGTGACAGGTTTGTATTCAGTTGCAGCTCTAGTTTTATGTATACATTTCAAAAATTTACAAACATTTATGATAATATTTTTATCTTTACTGTTAAGTATGTGTATTAAGTTTTGTGTGCTGACATTATCATACAAAAATGGAGTAATAAACCTGTTTCTAGCATCATTATATAATTTACAACAAAAAAAGACATGTTTCATCTTCAATACAGTTCATATTATCTAATTTACAGTAAAAACAGACTGTCAGCCATTGGTATGTCATATCAATCAATTATATTCTCCCTAAAATGAGGTGTGGATATGACTTTGCAGCTGTGTGTGGGTATATATAAATACAAGGTTCAATATAACATTTCAGGTTTTCTTGGGATTCCCGATAGGAATGGAAAAATAAAAGATCTAAGCAAATTTGATGCCTCCTTCTTTGGCGTCCACCCCAAACAAGCCAATTCCATGGACCCTCAGCTGAGACTTCTGTTGGAAGTTGCATATGAGGCAATTGTAGATTCAGGTAAGACAAGCAACCAGACTGTAACTGTAGGAGAATACAGTATATTCCTTCACTTTGTATCAAGCAAGGGGTGAGGGTAAAAACATTTTGTTACATAGCATTTATCTGCCCAGATTAGATTGTGATATCCTAAAGGTATGTGGAGAAAAATGGCTCAAGCCAAGTGTAACACCATGCATTCTCTTCACATTGTCTGCTGTCATATTTTAAATGCATTGTGATGTCATCCCAGGTTACAGCCCCCAGAGTTTGCGGGGTTCGAGGACAGGTGTATTTGTTGGTGCGAGTGCGTCTGAGGCCTCGGAGGCATTCTCGTCCGACTCTGAGAAAATGGATGGTTATGGCATGATAGGATGCTGCCGGGCCATGTTTGCAAACAGACTGTCTTTCTTCTTTGATCTCAAAGGTATGTACTTATTTTTAGCTCAGATCAGTCATGAATTTTTGTCCTTATGAATGACTCATTTTTTTTCAAATCTTAAGATTATAAGTGATCTTTGTTCACCTTATTTGAAAATCTATGAAATTATTTGTTGTACGACTGTCTTGATTATGTGAGGGTCTGAATCATTACATGAGATAGATTTGTGGTCAGCAGTGTGTTCAGTATGGAGGATAATGAGGAAGGAAAATCCTTCAACAGATTGTAAGTTTTGTACAAGTGCTTTAAGTTTCTACTCCTGTTAGTAGTATTAGAAGTGATATATCTTATAGCAGTTTCACACAACTTGATCGTCATATGAGCGAAATATTCTCAAGCACGATGTTAAACCCAATTCCACCACTCACACAACTTGGGTTGGCTGTCTGGCTCTTCAGCATAAGAATTCTTAGCTCTGCATTCTACCATGGTTTAACACAGCTTTACCAAGAGAAACTTTTGTGAATAAGTGTGCACCAAAACATGGTATATTCCTATGAAGAAACTTAAAAAGTTGAAGTTGATTAAGTTGTGAAACAATTTTCTGGTTCGAAGAGCAAATGCCCAGGAATAGGGTTCAATTATCAGAAGTTTATGTCCTAGCACTTGCATAATCAATTCATGTACTTTCTTATTCACTTGTCAAGTTTACATTGTGTAATTATTTTGCTCAAATATTGTGGAATAATCATAAAATAGAAACAAGTAATTCCTTGTTTTACGGCCTTGCAAGTGAATACATGAATACTGAAGAATCATAATGGCATATATATTTTTTTAAGGTTTTTTGGAAGATTAGTTGGCAAATATGTATACAAGGAAAGATGTTGTGAGTGGTGGCAGCAGAAAAGAATTTGTGGGTAGTGGTTGTTTCCGAAGAAAATCAATGTCTTAATACAAGCAAATGTTATTCGGGTGCTCCTTGATCTCAAAGGTACTGATGCAATATCCAGCCTGCTGACGATATTTGTCTCGATATATAAGCAAAATGTAGCTGATATGGATATTGATAGTTTCTGTGTGTATTCTTTTGACTGTTTCCTATGTTTTGATTGAAAATGGACATTCTGTTTTGACATGCATATTGAAATTTTCCAGGTGCAGTATAATATGAATGATTAAAATGTTTCCTATTGTGTCAACTAATGTACTAGCAGCAGTCCTTTTTTTGTCTTGTAGGTCCAAGCTATGCTATAGACACTGCATGTTCCTCTAGTTCTCTGGCTATGGACCATGCCCTGGCCAGTATTCGCATGGGTATCTGTGATGCTGCCATCATTGGGGGAACCAATATCTGCGTCAAGCCCAACACAGCTCTCCAGTTCTTAAAGCTCGGCATGCTGTCACCTGATGGTTGTTGCAAATCTTTTGATGCAAATGGTGCGAAAAGTCCATCCCCTTATTTCATATCTACTCAAGTCACTAGTCTGCTCAGTCAGGTTGATTACTGTATAAAACAGTGTTGTCACTTCAAGTGTCCATGTTTCATATGTAATTGGTAAAAATACTGAGCCCGATTGTTCATGATGAATCTCTGGAGTCTTGCACACAATTTTATTTGTATAATTTCTTGATAAAACATTCACCTATACGGTGTTCCACCATGAACATGAATACTGGCCCACCTCTCAACATTGCAAATATGTCATGTTTATCTCTACAGTGCAGACTTTACTTCAATAAAGAGACTTCATAGTAATGGTTTTATTTAAGGAGTTAATATTAGACTTTGGATACTATTGCAGGTAACGGGTATTGTCGCAGTGAAGGCATCATAGCTATTCACATTCAGAAGGCATCTGCTGCTCGCAGAATCTACTCTACAGTTGTACATTCCAAGAATAATGCAGATGGCAACAAAGAGCAAGGTGAGTTTAGACAACCAGGAAAGTGGTTCTCTTGCATGGTATTGTAAATACTCGAACTTGAGCCTCAAGCTAGGACTTAAGGCAGAAGGAAAGCTGTTCAGTGATATGAATTGTTGCTATACACAGGCATCACCTTCCCGTCTGGTGCTGCACAGAAGAAACTACTTGAAGAGACATACCATGAGGCAGGAGTAGACCCCAGTCAGGTGGCTTATGTGGAGGCTCACGGCACAGGCACCAAAGTGGGAGACCCACAGGAAGTGAACAGCATAGCGGATGTCTTCTGCAAAGACCGCAATGAACCACTGCTCATAGGATCGACCAAGTCTAACATGGGTCACCCTGAGCCAGCATCAGGTTAGCCACATTCAATCAAATATTAGAGCTCATCAGTTTGTCTGAAATTGTCTGTCTGTTAATTAAGAACTTTTAAGGAAATTATCTCCTGTTTTAATGGACCCAAGAAAAGCGATATTGATCTAGTTTCACACTGTTTTTGTTCAGCCGCCACATAGCTGGAATATTGGTGAGTGCGGCCCAAAACTAAACTTACTGTCATTCAAGAGATGCAACTATGTAATGTGGAATATGTTAAAGGCCAGAAACACAAACTTACTAAGATCCGTGACAGAGTAATGTCCATTGATCAAAAATGACATGTCGGCGTTCAATCAACCAACAATGTTTTTATCAGTTTGTATTGTGATGTTCAAATAATTGATTGTTGCCATACATCTTGATGTATCATTCAAAGCTATTAGGCTAAAAATGAATGGATGCCCTTGTGCTGGCGTTTTCGTGCTATTTTTAGTAACTTGAGTCAATATCATTGATAAGCCGACTTTGGATGGAGTCGGTATGCATTTCCATAGACTGTCATGTGGTCACTTATCAGCCAATTAGAACAAGGAAAAAGGTTCTTGCCATGGTGCTTATCCAGACAAATAGTTCTTTGAGTTAAAGAAACTTTGCCATGGTTGTTGAATACTCCAATCTTAACCTGTTTCAACAAAATCAAGTCTTGTGAATCTACAATGTTACTCTGAACTTTCCATTGTCATCACACCAGATTAAGATCGGTCATGCTTTGATACATGGATTGTCAGTTTTGTATACCAGTCACAACTAGAACCATCGTCTTTGGCATCTTCGACAAAACAAGTGAGTTTCACTGTCTTGTGACTCATGTTTGTGCAAAGTATTCTTGAACACCTCTTTTCTGTGAAATAAAAGGTGAAGCCAGTTTGGTGGGTATTGAAAAAAGCCATATAGCATTCCTTGTTACTTATAACTGAAATGAATGCACATTGTGTACATGGTTGTTTTTGGTAGAGTAACATAAGACAACCAGGCTTTACAGGTGGAGCAAATCACACGTTGAGATTCAGTGAAAGTTTCATGTTGCAGGACTTTCATCGCTGGCTAAGGTGATTATTGCAATGGAGGAGAAGATACTGCCAGCCAATCTCCACTACAATGAGCCCAACCCCAACATTCCAGGCTTGGTAGATGGCAGACTGAAGGTTGTGACCGAAAGCACTCGGTGGTCAGGTGGCTATGTTGGCGTGAACTCGTTTGGTTTTGGTGGTGCTAATGTACATTTGATTTTAAAGTCCAATGACAATGAAAAAAGTGAGCAGCATCCCGCCGCTTCATCTCGCCGCCTGTGTGTGTATGCAGGCCGCAACAGAGGAGTGTGTGGACCATGTGCTGACGCAGATGCACCAAAACAGTGACAGTGTGGAGCTCCATGCTCTGCTCAATGAGAGTGCATGTTCACCCACAACAGCATTTCCATACAGGGGATACACAGTACTCAATTCACAGGAGGATGTTCGAGAAGTTCAGGTAACTGCCTAAATTGTACACTAGTTTATGAACAGAGCATTCCATATCATTCCATATACTAATGTTTCTTGTGGAAGGTTAAACCCAGAATAGCTGCCAGATAGATGATGGGGGCTACAATCAGTCTATTTTCACTGTTTATTTTCACTGTTTATGAAAGGTGATAATTAGTACAAGGTAGGAGATTCATGTTTTATGTTAGTGTTCTAACATACACCCATGTGAACTGTCTGGCGGATGTTTGTGTCGCTATTGCAGACACTTGTATGACATGTTTTATCTTCTGTGCAGAAATGTTCGGGTGACAGTCGGCCAGTGTGGTATGTGTTTGCTGGAATGGGCTCACAATGGTTTGGAATGGGCCGTAGCATGATGGAGTTGGAGGTGTTCAAGCAGTCAATACTGAAATCGGATGCCATACTGCAGAGACATGGCATTGAATTGTACCAGGTGCTTACAGAAGGGGACAAGGCCACTTTTGACAACATTGTTTATACCTTCTGTGGTATTGCAGCTATTCAGGTATGACTTTCAGTGGTCCCTTCAACCTCACTTGGCAAATCATGCATATTACTTTACCTTATACTCACTCATGCTAATTGCTTGTCTCTTCATTCCTCCAAAGTGTAGTGGAAACTTCCTGTGTATTTCCTGAGAAAAGAAAGGCAACTCGCCAAAAATCTCCCTTGTTCATTTATCAGGCCAAGAATGATTTCATAAATAGTTTTGCTGTCTTAGGTTTTTAATTTGGGAAAACATTTGCATCTGCAGTGAAGGACAAGAACTGTAAGACTGCATGGATGAGCACCAATTTATTTTAAATGCAACTTTTACATGAAAGTAGGACACAACGATAACCGATCTTATCAACGACTTGTCACTTGACTGTTGGGATATTGTGGCAACAATGACTATTTTCTTCAGTTGGCACTGGTCGACTTGCTGAAGCAGATGGGGGTGACTCCAGATGGGCTGGTGGGCCACTCAGTTGGGGAGCTTCGGCTGTGCCTATGCTGATGGTTCTCTGACTGCAGAGGAAACCCTGCTTGCAAGCTACTGGAGAGGTCGATGTATCCAGGAGGCTACACTGCCACCTGGTGGCATGGCTGCAGTTGGTAAGTTGTAGTAATACCATATTCAAATTGTTGGATGGTGATTTCCAAATTAAAATGCTGAGGTTAACATTGAAACTGGTCCATACAGCTTTAAATTAGGAAGCAGGAAAATAACCTGACAAAATGAGTCAGTAAATACAGGCTCATGATCTGAGGTCACCGGAAATTAAGATACTGTGTTGAAAAAGCACACTGATCATGTTTGATCTGATTAGTGCAAGTGTAAAGTACATAAAACAATCATGGCTTAATCCGTTTTCACTTGTCGTGGAAAAATTCCTCAGTTAATCCGACAAAAATTACTGGGAACCATTTAAAACAGTGATAATTAGCTGCTCAAGTATTTTAATCCGACATTCTGCTGCATTCCGACATCCGACACACCAATCTAGTCAGCTTATTATTGTAAATACATTGTAAAACATTTCGTTAATCCGACAATCAACACAGCCGGTCGGATGATCCGAGCCGTAAATACATGTAAAAACAATCAACACGTGAGTGGTAATATACAAACAATGTGAGTTACTGGCTGCCTTACTGGCTGGCGGCGTCAGTGAACATCACACTTGTTAATTAGGAACACAGGATAATTAATTGAGACGATTTAATCAAGAAATAACAGTAGAGCGGTATAAAATGTTTACAACCGACATGAGTTTTCATCACAAGATGTTTGTCACGAGTACACCACCTGCTAAGCGACCCCTTGTAGAAGTTACGCCATTGATCAAGAAAGAAATCTCCTTTTGAAGAAAGACAAACCCCAGACAACACAACAAGAAGTCATCACTTTTGCTGAGCAGAAGTTTGATGTGAAGATTGACGATCAACCGTATCTGACATCCTGAAGCAGTCTGCTTAGTGGTTGAGCGTCTCTACGACTGGTTCCAATGCTTCAAGCTATCTGAGGCCAAAACATCGTTGAACACTTTGCAAACATTTCTGACACACCACTTAGACGTGTTTGATGTTAATGACCATCAAAGACTTTTTCAAGTTATAAATTATATATGTTATGATACACGCCTGATTGTACATTAGACGTCCACATGTTATTATGGAATTAGTTGTATGGAAACCGTAACATATTCAACATCCGGGTCATAATGGCAGCTGATATGCGGTAAAAACAAACGTGAGTTTTGTGCCAATGTGGTCATGAAATAGATATGAAACTGTTCGCTTATGTGATTATATATGTATGTTATGCCATCTATGAATGTTAATAAATGAAAACAAGTATGTATTGTTAGTATTTTTTATTTCTGTGAATATTTTTACATACGATGAAGATAACTAGATCTACCATTTCTGATATGCATGCAACAGTATGACGATCATGACATTTAGTAAACATTGATATTTTCACGCAAATACATTAATCCGACATTTTCATTAATCCGACATTTTCGTTAATCCGACATATTTCTCTGCAACCACAAGTGTCGGATTAACGTAATACAGATTGTTGACAGATCAAGTTTGTGCTGCAACTGAAAGAACAGGGGATATTTGCAAAGGAAGTTCAGAGTGGAGGTGTTGCCTTCCATTCCCAGTATATGGCAGACATTGCCCCAACTCTTCTGGCTGTCCTCAACAAGGTAGGTTTGTACACAGGATCAACTAAAAATAATTAGTAGTAGTGCACTCCTGTTGTCGTGTGGGTCAAAGTTGTGCAGAGAGCATTATTTCTAAATATTTATGGTGCATGTGTAACCTTCAAGAACCTATTATTTCAGGTGATAAAGCCCAAGCGTCGTTCTGAGCGCTGGGTGAGCAGCTCGGTGCCAGAAGCGGAGTGGCATACAGATAAGGCAAAGTTCTCATCGGCAGAATATGTTATCAACAACCTGGTGAGCCCTGTGCTGTTTCAGGAGGCTGTGCAACATATTCCCAACAATGCTGTTGTCATAGAGATTGCCCCACACTGTCTTCTACAGGCAATACTCAAGAGGTCTCTTGCTCCAACCTGTACATTTGTTGGTCTCATGAAGAGAAATCACCCGGATAATGTCAACTACTTCTACTCCAGTATTGGAAAGTAAGTTAATTTTGTGTTGCCATTCACAAGGGTACAGGACCGCCTCCGTGGTGTAGTGGTTAGAGCGTCCGCCCGGAGAGCGGAAGGCCGTGGTTTTGATCCCCGGCCGTGTCAAACCAAAAGACGTTAAAATATGGTACTTGTTGGGTCCCTGCCTGGCGTTCGGCATTAATTGGTACAACAAGGACTGGTTGGCTCGGAGTCAGTATAATGTGTCTGAGTGTGGTATTCATGCTTCACTGCGGCATGGTATCTCAGTGGGCTAGCACTATAAAACCAGCTTCAGTCTGGGCTAGTACAAGCAGCCGCACATACACATACACACGCATGCATGTCGTCATATGAGCGAAATATTCTCAAGCACAACGTAAAACCCAATTTCACCTCACCTCACAAGGGTACAGTAGCACTTGCTTTTGAATAGATTGTTTTATCTGCATGGAGATCTGCATATTGCTCATTGGCGGGTTGAAACATCCAATCAAGTTACTGTTCCTAAACTGTTATGGGCTTTTACCAATTAAAATGACAGTGGAAATTCTCAGTGTTGCAGTTGCATATACCTGGCTCTGTTACCCCTTCATATAAATTGTTTTATAATTCGCAGGTGCTATGCAGCAGGAATGAAAGTTGATCCCCTGGGTCTGTTTCCCCCAGTGAGGTACCCAGTCCCTGCTGGCACTCCCATGGTGTCACCTTTTGTACAGTGGGACCATGCTCAGTCATGGAATGTTCCTAAACCGGATGATTTCATTTCTGGAGGATCAGGGAAAAAACTCTGTCTGTTTATGAAATTGATGTCTCCCCTGAATCTCCAGACCATTACCTTGTGGACCATTCCATCGATGGCAGGGTACTGTTTCCTGGAACAGGCTACCTGGTCCTTGCATGGCGGACACTGGCCAAACTCAAGGGGAAGTTCTATGAACATATGCCTGTCATTTTTGAGAATGTTAACATTCATCAAGCCACCATTCTACCCAAAACAGGTAAGCATATTTTGACTTCTGAATTATGTATTTAAGAGTAAATTGAGTCTTCCAGATTTTTCAAACTTGTTTAGTTTTAGCTTCCTTTTCTCGTAAATAACAAATAGCAGTGTTGAATTTCAAATGGGTTGATGTTTTGGAAGTGTCATCAAAATAAAGTTAGTACTTGATAACCGTATATAAGAATATAGGACCTCTTTGTGATGCCTCAAATGTGTTTTCTGTTAGCAAGTAGCTCGGTACCATGAGTATTTTGTGATGTGCACTGGTTGGCCTGACAGTCTTCAAATTAAGAACTTAAGCATGCAATAAGTAAAAATGCACTCGCCTACATTCTTCCCCTTGTGTTCATCCGGTCCAACCATTCATCCCCCTCCTACCATCATTTGATAACCCCCCACCCACCCATTTTCCGTGGTGTAGTGGTTGGAGCGTCTGCCCGGAGTGCAGAAAGTCCGGGTTCGATCCCCGACCGCGTCATACCAAAAGACGTTAAAATATGGTACTTGTTGGTCCCTGCCTGGCGCTCGGCATTAATGGGTACAACAAGGACTGGTCGGCTCGGAGTCAGTATAATGTGTCTGAGTGGGGTATTCATGCTTCACTGCAGCATGGTATCTCAGTGAGCTAGCACTATAAAACCAGCTTCAGTCTGGGCTAGTACAAGCAGCCGCACATACACATACACATGCATGCACGTCATCATATGAGCGAAATATTCTCAAGCACGACGTTAAACCCAATTCCACCAGCACCACCACCACCACCACCCCCCCCCATTTATCAAAACACCATCTCCCTCCCATCCTATCATCACCCTGCCACCAACCTTCTTCCAGTCTTTCATCCACTTTGTATTGGTATGATTGTTGACTTCTTGTTTCAATGTAGGTATTGTTAAGCTGGAGGTGTGTGTAATGCCAGCAACAGGAGAGTTTGAAATCAGCGAGGCTGGCAACCTTACAGTCAGCGGACACATTCACGAGCTGGAAGATGAAGAATCGTTCAGATCTCTTCTTGAGCAGAACACAGTTCAACCCACACATGCCCCAACTGAAGAGACCATTCCACTCACACTCTCCGATATGTACAAAGATCTTAGACTTCGGGGCTATGATTATGGTCCAGAGTTCCAAGGCATTTACAAGATGACCCACAAAGGCAGGACACTGAAACTTTTTTCATCACCTTCATTCCATCAAAGATGTCAAAGTTTTTCAAATTTTCTATTCATTTCCGCTTTGTAAACATACCACATTTCAAAGTCAGTAGTGTTCCAAAGGTCTTCCCAATATTATTTGTTGATTTTGTGTTAACATTACATCAGTGTATTATGATTGTACCATATGACATGCTGAATGAATAGTTGGACACATTGTTTCCACATACTTCCAGGACCACTGGGAATAATTTGAAACCATGAAAACCTAAAGGAAACTAAATATCTTGGATCACCCGACACATTTATTGCATCCAAACTGCTAGGGTGTTCTCGTGGACATTGCATCACAACAAAACGTGTTTGCCATGATATAAAGGATATAAACATGCGTTATCTTTAATTCTGGTTCACTCCATCGCATTCATTCTTGTCCACTGCAAGTTATCTTCATGGCAGAATCACTGCACTGTGCAGGTCCATTGATAGCTTTGCTGACAATATAACCTCTCAGGCCTTAATGGGTATGCTCATATTTCAAAAGAAACAAAATCCAAGATAAGCTGGACCAATGTGGAAATTTACTTGATTGTTAATTACTTTTAAGTTTACTAATCTATCAGTATTCTATTCATGAAATTTTTAAGAGCTTGTGAAATTGCGTGTTTGTAAAAATGGGAATATCTACTTTTTCAGGTGACTTGGGGGAACTGTTGTGGAAAGGCAACTGGGTGTCTTTCTTGGACACAATGCTTCAAGCACAGGTGGCTGGCAAAGCTTTAGGATATCGACTACCAACTAGAATCAAGTCAGTGCGCATAGACCCCACCATACATGCCCAGTATGTTATTCCAGCAACAGATGACAAACCAGGTCAGTAATTAACATGTCTCTCCTGCAGACTACCCAAATCATATAAACACCATTGAATCAGCCTTATCTTTAATGTTTACACCAGTGACAAACTATCTACAAGACATTTTGGTGACAGGGAGTGATTCAACTTTCCTTTCACAGTGTGTACTTTGCACAATGTTTTAGGTACAACAAAGCATGTTCTTTCTGTGAAAAGTTTCAAAGAGTGTCATGGCTCTTGCTCAACACAAGTGCTAAAACATTCAAGGCCTTTAGTAAAGTGTTTCCAAAGTTTAAGACATTTGACACAGTGACAAAAAATATGTAAATGTTGGTTCACTATTTTAACATCTACTGTTTGAATATTTTCAAGTTTTGGTGTTTTATCAGGTACAACTAGGTGCAGGATACCCTCAATTTTAGGCAAACTAATTGGTCGCGATTCATTTTGACATACTATTGTATAATTTGAGTTATATGGACTCTTTTGATTTATGGAAAGGATTTTGTTACTTTTATTTATATTTTCATTTGAAACAAAGTGTAAAGGAATTAAGATTTAAATTCACCAAGACTGATGCTGACATGTAACAGTCTGTCACTTCCATGCTGTTATTTATTGTTCCCTGTTTTCAGCTACTATTCCTGTGATGATGGATCACTGCCTTGACATTTTTGTGTGTGGAGGAGTTGAAATGAGAGGACTGCATTCTACTTCTGCTCCAAGACGATCCAACCAGACTCCTACATTAGAGGCCTACACATTTGTTCCATACCATGAGAACCTCCTTGATTCCGAATCAAAAATGTATGCTGAAGACTGTTTGGCCTACACACATCAGTCCCTTGCAACACTACTGAAATCCAGTGGAGCTACTTACATTCCCAACTCCAGTTTGTTGTCGGTGGAAAAGCCACAAACTCACATCAGTCTTGACAAAGTGATGGAATATTCTAGGCAGCCAACATGTGGTCTCATGCAGACTTTGCACAAGATCTTCTCTACTCCTTTATCAGAAAGTTTCCCTGAAAATGTATTTAACATTGTGAATGCATTCCAGCCAGAGCTATCAAATGACACTTTACTCAACTGCCTACTTGAAGATAAAGTATTGAAATCCTGTGTGGACATAGTGCTAGAGAACTGCCTGAAGACCAAGGTGAATGTGCTGGAGGTGTGTTCTCCAACCGGAGCTATGTATAGCCATGTCCTGCCTCTCCTTGGAGCTCATCCCATGAATCAAGTAGACTATACAGTAGCCAATCCCCAGCAAAATGATCAAGAGAAACTCGAAAAACTTGCTATCCATACGCTGCAGTGGGATTTGCAGAAGACTCTACCATCAGGAGCTAGTCAACCTGATGTGATCATTCTGAGAAATATCCTCCACCGTGAGCAAAACATTAGTGTTGCTTTGAAGAATGTTGCTGATGCATGTGGAACAAAAGGGTTTGCACTGATTATAGAAGCTACTCAAAACTTTCCACTACATCTGGCAATTAACAATTTCAAACTAGACTGTGTTACAACTGGTGATTCCAGAACACATGGATGCTATCTGGATTCGTCCAGCTGGACAAAGCTGTTCTTGGAGCATGGGCTGCAGGTGATCTGTGACAAGACAGATGGGGTTCTGTGCAACATGTTCCTGGTGTGTAGAGCCAACAAAGCTGTTGGAGAAAACCAGACCATCATCTGTGTGGATGACCTCAACTGCAGTTGGGTGGACATGGTCAAGTCTGCCCTTGATGACTGTCATGTACGTCCTGAAGGGGAGAATGTCTGGCTGCAGGCAAACAACACTAACAGTGGCATAGTGGGACTAACTAACTGCCTTCGGAAGGAATCTGGAGGGGAACGACTCAGGTAGGATATATTGTTATAGGTCTGATCAGAAAAGGTTTTGAGGTAATATTACCAAAATGTTTCCCATTTTATGCATTTGTTTTGATGCACTCTATTTAATTATTTTCTCAGATGCATTTTCTCAAGTGAGAGGATTGTCCCCAGTAGCAAGTGCTTTCAGAAGTTGGTGAGACAAGATCTGGTAATGAATGTTGAGCAACAGGGCAAGTGGGGCTCCTACAGGCACATTCCATTGTCCAAAGGTAAGTCATCTGACTCATGGCACTAAACAATGTATTGTGAAGAATATATTGAAAAGTGAAATAGAGAAATGTTTATCTGTGTCGCTGTCAAAATACAATCGTGAATTACAGTTGTGGCTATTGTTGCAGGAACTGAGTTGTTGGAATGCAAAAGTGAGCATGCTTACATTGATGTAACGGTGAGAGGTGATCTTTCAAGTCTGAAGTGGATCGTGTCTCCCCTGCATAAGCATGATGTACCAGTCCGTGCAGGACGAGAGCAGTGTGAAGTGCACTATTCTTCCCTCAACTTCCGGGATGTGATGCTGGCAACTGGTAAGCTGCCCCCAGATGCCATCCCAGGGGAAATGGACATTAAAGACTGTATGCTGGGCATGGAGTTCTCTGGCAAACAGAAAGATGGCAAGAGGGTCATGGCGGTCGTAACTGCAAAGGTACGTATTAAGACAACTTGCAAAAATAGACATTTTCAAGTCGTAAACATTTGTCAATGAGATAAATATATTTGTTTTCTGTGTAGGGTTTGGCAACAACTACTGAAGTGGACCGACGCTTCTTGTGGGAGGTCCCGGAGTCATGGAGTCTGGAGGAGGCAGCCAGTGTCCCTACTGTATATGCTACTGCGTATTATGCACTTGTTCACCGTGGCAATATCAAGAAGGGGGACTGTGTCCTGATCCACTCGGGCAGTGGTGGAGTGGGCCAGGCAGCCATATCTATTGCATTGCATCATGGCTGTGAGGTGTTCACCACTGTTGGTTCCATGGAGAAAAGGCAGTATCTCAAACAAAAGTTTCCAACCCTGAAAGATTACAACTTCGCCAACTCTAGAGACAATTCATTTGAATTTGACATCCTGAGAGCAACTAAAGGCAGAGGTAAAGTTCTTTCTTTCTGGGGTGGTGGGGGGGGGGAGGGGGGACATAAAGGTAAGGTAATAACCATTGTTATATTGTCTGTACTGGGCTGTGGGGTACCCTAGTCACACCGAAGACCCAGGTTAGATCCCTCACAAGGGTACAATTTGTGAAGCCCATTTCCAGTGTCCCCCACTATGATATTGCTGGAATATTGCTAATAGTGGTGTAAAACCAAACTAATGTCTGTACTGTGAATGACTTCATTCTGATGCTTGAGCTATTCTGCTGTAGGTGTGGATATTGTACTGAATTCCCTGGCAGAAGAGAAACTACAGGCCAGTTTGAGACTGCTTGCTCCTCATGGAAGGTTCCTGGAGATAGGCAAATTTGACCTTTCAAAGAACACTGCACTAGGTAAGGCTACTGGAATCTGTGATAGTCTTGTACCTAAATGCCAATTTTATGATGTTTTAAAGATCTTTACCTCAACAGGTTCATTGAAAATGTCAAGTAAACTCACTACATATGTTTTCATTATTCCAGGGATGTCAATATTCTTGAAAAATATCAGTTTTCATGGTATTCTTCTGGATGCGCTGATGGAGCCTGGCAACAAGGACTGGGACACTGTACACCAGTTGGTGAGCCATGGCATCAGCTCAGGTGCAGTTAAACCCTTGGATACAACAGTGTTTTCTCACTCCGAGGTTGAAGATGCGTTCCGATACATGGCTCAGGGAAAACACATGGGAAAAGTCCTCATCAAGGTTAACAGCCTTTCTACCATTTGTTTTAAAAATGATTTTGACTGGTCAGGTTTGAAAACTGTCAAATATGGTTAACTGTAACTACTCCAGAAGTAGACAAGTATTAAATGTTTTCTGACAACAGATCATAAAAGATGTGAGATTGGTTACTACCTGCAGATTAAGTTAAAGGGATGAGTTGCAGCAGTAATCACGTGCAGTATAGATTATTACACACACAAGTGACATTTTCTATTGCCCGAGCAAGTGTAATAATTTCTTTATCCAGTTATGTATGTGAAGATCCATCATAAAATAGTGAATTCTCTCTAAAATAACATGAGCATATATTTGCAAAAGAATGTGTGAACATTGGCATCATAACTGACCTAACAAGTAACACCTTATTTTGACACTTGAATACCTGCAGAATTTTTGTATTGCAGATACGATCAGAAGATACTGAAAATCCTCTTACAGTGCAAGCAATATCTCGAACATACTGCAGTAGCCAAAAGACTTACATCATTACTGGTGGCTTGGGAGGATTTGGTCTGGAACTTGCCCAGTGGCTAATTGAACGTGGAGCAAGGAAACTTCTCCTCACATCTCGATCTGGTGTACGGACTGGCTACCAGTCCCGGCGGGTGCGGCTATGGAGAAAGGCAGGAGTGAATGTATGTATCTCTTCAAGAGATATCAACACAGAGGCAGAGGCCACAAAGCTTGTGCAAGAAGCGGAGAAAATGGGCCCCGTTGGAGGGGTGTTTAATCTAGCAATGGTAATATACTAATTAAACTAGTCAGATAGATTATTTTAATTCCTTTTGCACATGTTCTCCCTCAACTAGGTGGTCAAAAATTGATACAAAAAAGGACTTTCAATTATCTTTCTTTGGATAAACATGATAGCAAGAAATTGCATGATGGCGGCAATGATTCTGGTCCACGTTCCACAATGTGATCATATCTGACAGTTGTAAATCTACAAAAGAAATAAGATGTGGAACGAGGCTCAAACAACAAACTGCTAATAGACAAACAAAATTCAAGGCAAAGTTTATGATTAGCTTCAATTTTGTTGAAAATAATTTATTTGTATTTTTCATTTCTGTCAGGTGTTGAAAGACAGTTTGATGGAGAATCAGACAGTAGAGACCTTCAAGACAGTATGTCATCCAAAAGCACAGGGAACAATCTGCCTTGACCTTGCCAGTCGTAGTGCCACCTGTAGGCAAAGTCTGGACTTGTTTGTTGTCTTTTCCTCTGTCAGCTGTGGACGGGGTAATGCAGGGCAAGCTAACTATGGCTTTGCTAACTCAGTGATGGAACGTGTTGTGGAACAGAGACGCCAGGAAGGATTGCCAGGTAGAATTTATCTAATTTTCACACTACTTGTACAGTAGATTCTAGCACAAGTCATGTTCTTATCTTGGTGTTTGGAAATGTGACAGAAGCATTTTGAAACTTAACACAATGATTTTTCTTAGGTGTTGCCATCCAATGGGGTGCTATTGGTGATGTTGGTGTGGTGCTGGAAACAATGGCTGGGAATGATGCTGTCATTGGGGGCACCTTACCTCAGAGGATCCCTCCTGCATGGTGGTCCTGGACCGCTTCCTCAACCAGCCCCACCCAGTTGTGTCCAGTTTTGTCATGGCAGAGAAACATACTGGCGCCAAGAAGGATGTTGGCAAACGGGACTTGGTGGCATCTGTAGCCCACATATTAGGTATTGTAGCAAGATCAGCAACTCATCAGCATCTATCGCTTTCAACTGAAATAAGAACATTCAGGCACTGTTAGTTTTGGAAGGGTGAGGGACGTATGTGAATGTTGACTTGTCTTGAACTTTAGATGTCTTGATGTTCCATGTTTGTGGAACTGTGGAGTCATGAGGGGGAAATCTGGCTTGTGTTAAATGTTTTCCAAACTGAAACAATAATTTAACCCAAAAATCTGGGGGTGGGGGGGGAGAATTCCGTGTAAAACCAAAAACAGAAATGTTATTTGTTCTACATTTGTATTACAGATTATTACAAGGCAATAAAATTTACTTAAGGTCAAAATACCTTCTAAAAGTTCCATATCTTCTTGGATTAGCGACCCGTGAAGATCCGGGGTAGAATAGGTCTTCAGCAACCCATGTGCTTGCCATAACAAGGTGACTATCTTGTCGTAAGAGGCGACTAACGGGATCGTGTGGTCATTTTCGCTGACTTGGTTGACAAATGTCATCGGTTCCCAATTGCGCAGATCGATGCTCATGCTGTTGATCACTGGATTGTCTGGTCCAGACTCGATTATTTACAGACCGCCGCCATATAGCTGGAATATTGCTGAGTGCGGCGTAAAACTAAACTCACTCACTCACTCTTGGATTAGCTTATAACTCTTCCAGAAGATTCCCAGTAACACCACTCCAAAAACATCACAATATAGTAAGTTTATAGCACTGCTTGCATTCGATAGTAATACATTCCTGACTGAGAATGAGAGAATGTTATGAAACAATATTTTACAATTACAACAATGTTAAACACTGTCATGTAACACTTAACAGGGGTAAAAGATGTCTCCACTATTAACCCTGACATGAGCCTGGCTGATCTTGGTCTGGACTCTCTAATGGGGGTTGAGGTGAAGCAGACGTTGGAACGGGAACATGACATATCCATGTCGATGCGGGAGATCCGGCAGCTGACGATGACAAGTCTGCAGGACATCAGTGGGGGAGGAGGGGAGACAGCAGACACCAGCAGCAACAGCAACAAGGATAATGGGTCCACACTTGATGACAGTGGCCTGTCTGTTCGCTATGACATGTCTCAGATCATGCCCACCACCACAATTGTTGCCATTGGTGGAGTACACAATGACAAGACACCCCTGTTCATTGTGCACCCAATAGAAGGTGAGAACATGCATTGCTCAAGCAAATGATTCCAGTGATGTTTTGATTTGCTAAATGTTTTAACTCTGCTCCCACACTCCATGGATTATAAGTAATATTAGAGGTTGTTATGAGCTTTTGGACATGTTTATACACTTATGATGTGTTCTGTCTGTCAGGTGTGACCCTGTCTCTAGAGAGTGTAGCCAGCCAGTTACAGCGCCCAGTCTATGGAATCCAGTGCACTGCTGATGCCCCGCTCACCTCGGTTGAGGCCCTTGCAAGATTCTACTTGAAAGTGAGTTCTGGATCATTCTGAAAAAAACACATTCTACTGTGATACTGAAGCTGTGTATCTCGCATGCCAATAACTACTAACTCTACAAGGGTATATGTTGTAAATTCCAGAATATACACAGTGTCCAACCTGATGGCCCCTACTGCCTGGCTGGCTACTCATTCGGTGCATGTATTGCCTTGGAGATGGCGCTTCAGCTTCAGCAGTACAACACTGGCCAGCCAGATATCGTGAAGGCCCTGGTGCTGTTGGATGGCTCCCACAAGTATGTTACTGCTCACTTAGCTTCCCACCGCGCCAAGCTGACGCCAGGCCATCAAGGGCAGGAGGAGACTGAGGTCATGTGTACCTTTGTTCAGCAGTTCATGTCCATTGACTACCCCAGGGTGAGTCCCATGAGAAATAATAGGCATTCATTGTATTAATGTGGTTCCGATATATCCAGGAGTATTGTCACTTATAAAGGACAAATTGGACACAATTATAGTAAATGATTACTGCATATAGCAGGAGCATTGGGCAGCAACATACTGTTGTCTGCACAACCTATTGTGGATAGATGATAGTGAAGAGAATTTGTGTTGGAACCGTTCTTCGCGATGACATGCAGAATAGTGATGGTTGGAGCTGGACCTCTTTTGTTCATTTGTCCTATGAATTGTATGCAGCCATTTAGGAAACAAAGCAAAGACCAGTTTCATTTAAGAAAAATATACATATGTATTAAGAACGTTTTGTATCAATACATTGTTTAGACTCGAGACATTCATTGCCATGGAGATAATCAAACAGTGTAACACATAACCCAAAAGAAGTCAAGTGTCTGATGCTATAGCTACTTAATACAAACAGGGAAGTAATGGGCATGTCCTAGGTCTGTTGCATGTTTGTACCACTATGACCATGGATTTCCACTGTGACCTGTACCAATGTATAGTCAGTTTAGGTCACCATCAAAGCACCAGTGTTGTACGTTGACGCAACCACTCAGTTTGTACCTGTCATTGTTTTCGCTCATACATTTGTTTGGAGTACCCATGTATGGTTGCATGGCCATTTTTCAGTTGTCGGAGAAGATGCTGTCGGCACCTGACCTGGAGGGCCGTGTTGGTATTGCTGTAGATGAACTTATGTCCACACGCCAGTTCCAGAGCCGCACAGACTTGGAGGTTGCAGCAAAATCCTTTTGGAATAAGTTGTTAATGTGTATGGATTACAACCCAAGCACCTCATTCAAGGGAGATATATTGCTGGTGCGGGCTCAGCAATGTACAAATGAGGCATCCAAACTTGGGAAAGATTATGGCTTAGGACAGGTGAGGATTCGGTCTCAACTAGAAACCTTTAAAACATTTACAATTATTATTTTGGCCTCTGTGATGTCATGCATGATTTTACTTTTCGTGTTTGGAACTGAATAATTTAACTTGGGATTCAGCATTCCACTTAGAATGAAAATAGGGTTACAGTGGTAGGGGGATGGAGGGAATGACATTTGTATTACAGTAATATATATGGTCATTTTAATGGGATATCAAATTTCATTAATGCCAATTTTATGAAAGGTTACTTCACAGTGTATAATAATGAAACAGTTGCAGATATTGTGATCATGATTTTAATGATTTTTATATCACCTGATGCAGAGTTTCCAGTAAATGTCTCCAGCTCAATTCCCATGGCACATCATCCTAGATTTCCACTTAATTCAGCTTGCCTTGTTCCTTCAGGTGTGTGCTGGTAAGTTGCTGGTGAAAGAGGTTGCTGGGGATCATGAGACATTCATCCTTGGAGCAAGTGCTGGCAAAGTTGCATCTCTCGTATCTGATGTCCTCCCTTGAAGATGTTGCACCTGTTAATGGCATTGACCTGGCTATGTGCACAAGCTGTTGCCTGGTTCATCAGGGATGTATCCCCTATTGTCTCTCCCAAATTCACCTGGGATATGTGTACAGTGATGTGATATTAAATACATCCTTATTTGCCATTTAGATGTGAATCAGTAGCGACTCTGAGAAGGATAGATAACTTTAAACAAAACTATGTGTGTACGGTCAAATGAGCTACCAGATGATAGATAGATGGTTGTCATGATGGAATAGGAAACATTTACGGTCTATTCTTTAGTCTGGTGCAATATTTTTCACAGCACTATCTTCGTGCAGTAGTGTACAGCATATAGTCAAAATAATGTTTCATTGAATGAGTGAAGACCGGTGAGGAAGTGATCCTCCCAACTACTTACTTGCAGCAAGCATGTTGGTTATCGGAATCATTGTTACTATTTTGTTATGGTATTTATTGTGGGGTATGTGCATTGTTTGAATAACAATAAAGTACTGTGACAATTACAAAACTCTTTTGTTCAAATGTGTTGAAGGTGTTCGTTAAACACACACACATACACACCCAGATCCGCCAATGCAATGCATGGCACTTAGAGTAACACAGGGGCCTGATTATATTTTAGGCAGTGAATTATCCAATTCTATTCTCTCTCAGAACATTGCCTATAATTGGTTTCGACCCTTCCAGAGCTGTCAGCATGTAATATTTCACAAGCAGTATTTATATGTAGTAGGCGGTTGGTCTCGTTTGGATGTTACTGCACATTAGATATGGCTGGAAAGTAAAGCATGAAAGCAAGAATATAGATCTCATCTGTGGTCTCGTAACATTTCCTATAGAATTTATTCAAATGAAGTCTTTCACTGGGAGAAGCCCTGTCCATGCTCAACCGGAAGTTGGTCGTCATCAACTACCATTTCCTCGAAAGTCACTTGATCCCGGTAGAGAGTGAGTCCCAAACTTCATAAGATTTTGATATTTCCAAGTAGTAAATGTTTATGAAATCGATTTGTGTTATAAGCTGAATGGTCATGGGTGATAACCCCTATATCATTTGGTCATGACACATTATATTTTAAGTACATTTGAAGCATTTCTTGGCACGTCTGATGACGCGAATCAGAAAAGCCGAGAAATCAACCATGCACTTTCGACGTCTTTACAACATAATCAATTGATTTTCATTTCACGTATTGAGCATTTTTAGGGTAGATGAGGTTATGTAGCCGTTGTGTCAAGATTTTAGCTTCTGTTAAAACATACAAACTGAGATATTAACGAAAACAATAACTGTACGCATCAATGGTACTTGCTTCATCACTGTACGGGTTGTTGGTTTCTTCTTACACAAAACTGTCTTGGTAGTTGCAGGTATCGAATTCTGATTCGTTCCCTTTTTCCGCTATTGTTTCTATTGTTTCCATAAGTTTCCATTATTGAGCAGAGAAATGAGAAACATTGTTAAAATCTTTGTATCATTTTTAAACATTTTGTGTAAGCACTATCCACATTTTGTCATTAAGGTTTGCCCAATAATGTCTGATATTGACAGTTTAAAACAATAAAACTTCAAACCAAAACGTTTGAAAATATAATTCCCTTAAAGATCCAAAAGTGTGGCTAAAAGAAACAGAAGGTTGATGAAAATAACACTGGCCACGTCATTGCGTGTAGTACCACCAGCAGTCGCTGTGAACCAGTTGTTGATACAGAGGAGGATGCCACGTCCAAGCTCACTGAACTTCATCCAAGTGTCATTTCAGCATTGACAGAATCGGGGGCACCTTCCCAGGTTGTAGATTGGTAACGTTAGTATTTCGCCATTTTGTAGCGTTACGTTACAACGTAATGATGTCGCAAATTTACGTTCAGGAAACATTATGCTTTGGGCTCCTCACAATGTTATAAAGTTTAAATAATTTGGTGTCAGAGTTTTCTGTAATACCTTTCAGAGATCCTTTCTTCACTACTCAGCTACAGCTTCAGAAAACACGACAAAAACAAGCATATTAATGAATAACCATTGAAGTCAATGTCTGCTTTGTTTCTTATGTACTGTCCAATACTGGGAAAATTATTGAACTATTCACGTTAAACAGAACGTAGCACAACACAAAATACGTTGGCATCAAATAATCTTAACCTTGCGGCGACGTAAAAATGATGTGTCACAACGTTGTGGCCTGACGTTGTTTTATGTCATTTTACGTCCACAGAAAAACGCTGTAACAGAAAGCATTACGTTGTCATGTGAAATTGTTAGCTTGGTTGAAGTTCAACTGTTTGTTACACAATGGAAAACTCCCTTTGGTTAACATTGCTTTCCTATCGTTTGAAGACGTAATACAGTGGTATTCACTTGAAACAACAACTCAAATGAGATGCAGAGATGGGATGTAACAATTCTGGAGAATCGGTCAAAAGTTATTTCACCGAATATTCCTCCATTTTATGAGTGGGATTAAAACAGGTCACTTGGAAGAATCAGATTGAGGTGACTTAAAGCCAAGGGATTCGAAGATTAACTTTTCTGTGCCATCACGACACATTTTGGATAGGGTTGAAAACATATTTAGGCGCACAGATGTCCCAGGTATCTTTAATGAAGTTCTTGCTAAAATTTCAGAATATTTCAGTGACATTGCTTTAAACTTTTGCTAAGTCCCCAGTGTGATGATCTACTTTCAGTTGTTGGCGATCTATAGCCCGTGTTTTATTTTGTATTGTCTTCTTTAATTAAAATGTTTTAGTTTTACATGCTAGTTTTATATTCATATCTGTGATACTCTAGTATTTTTACTGTCCATCGTCGACAGGTTTTACTCTTCAGAATGTTTTTGTCATCAGAATGTTTTCGTCATCAGAATGTTTTCATCTTAATTGTCTAAATTGTCTTTGTCACGATATGGCAGAGATACTTACTCACTGACTCGCTCACTTTTAAGTTATGGTTAAATTGTACTACAATCGCCAGCGGCTGACGGGATGGTGTAAATGCAGCTAGGGTCCATGCAGGTAGCAAAGGCACTAAGTCCCCATGATCCATAGTATGGTGATCTCCCCTACAGTTGATGGGGATCTACAGCCTGTTTTTATAATGTATCGTCTTCAATACTAATTTTAAATTTGTATCTCTGATAATCTAGTTGTTTTACTGTACTTCGTTGACAGATGTTTATAGTTTCCTTTCAATTATTTTAGAATCTATAACTTGCTTTAGTCACGATATGGCTGAAATAATTTTCCGATGTGACATAACATTTTAACTCGCTCACTTTAAACGTTTGCGTAGATGGAAAAAGAGTAACATAGGACCAAATATGTCATTCAATACACAATTGCATGCTTCAAACCAAGGTTCTACCGCAGTTGATAAATAACAGGAAACCAACTACCCGTACAGTACCTTTTCAACAACCTGTACAGTTGATTTGTTTACATGAGCAACTAGGGGCGGTGGGGTAGCCTAGTGGTTAAAGCATTGGCTCGTCACGCCGAAGACCCGGGTTCGAATCCCCACATGGGTACATTGTGTGGAGCCTATTTGTGGTGTCCCCTGCCGTGATGTTGCTGGAATATTGCTAAAAGGGGCGTAAAACCAAACTCACTCAGTACATGAGCAACTAACATCGATGCATACAGTTATTGGTTTTGCTAATACCTCAGTTGGTATGTTTTGACAAAAGCTAAAATCTTGGCACAGCGGCAACATAACCACATTTACCCTAAAAATGCTAAAGACGTGAAATGAATTCAATTGATTATGTTGTAAAGACGTCGAAAGTGGTCAATTTCTCGTTTATCCGATTCGCGCCGACAGACGTGTCAAGAAATGCTTTCAAATGTATACCACATATAATGTGTCATGACCAAATGATATAGGGGCTATAAGCCATGACCATTCAGTTTATAAGAAAAGTCGATTTCATAAACATTTACTACTTGGAAATATCAAAATCTTACGAAGTCTGGGACTCACTGTCTACGGGATTGACTGTCTATCGAGCAAATGGTAGTTGACCAACTTCAGGTTGAGCATGGACAGGGCTTCCCCAACTGTGTCTATGCATAGGTTAATCACCCTTACAAGGCACTGTAAACGTATTATATTTCGCGCAGGTTTTATTTTCGCGCAAAACATTTTAGCGCGAAAATTTATACACCAGCGAATAAACCTGTCATTCATTCAGTCTAGCCACGCTTCGCCCTGAGTTGTTACCATAACACATCAAGTTTGAAGACAGAAATCTACGGGAATCTTAAAATTAAATAATGAGCCAAATCCCATCGCCGAATTAGTGAAAAAAGCAATGTGTGTTGTGGCCGCCATGGAAATTGGTCACATGACAGATGGTTTGATACAAAACAGATTACCATGACACGACTCGGAAAGAAATAATACAGCAGTATTTTATTTATTCAATAAGATTTTAATTACCAGTACATCATGAAGCGAATAGTCACTTAACACTCAATCATCTCATTCACAACAACCCGGCTTGTTTGAAATCACAAAGAGCTTCATATACAGTAGAAGTTAATTCGTCAGATCGTCAGAATTCGGAACATAAGACTGATGTGTTTTTCATCTCTTCCGTGAGTAAACGGACTACTGTGTACAAGTATATCGCACAGATAGGGATTTCCTGTGAGTAAGCAATAAACGCTACCTGACAGGTTAAGCCACTCTGTTTGTTTTCACTGCTATTAGTGGCGGTCAAAGAGACAGCTGGCAGTTCCGGCAATTACTGATTGCGCGAATAATTGACCGCGCAATGTAGTCTAAACTGTCAATTCCGCGAAAATTGCACCACGCGAAAATAAGTACGTTTACAGTAGTTATTTTCCTTATCCTGACTCATGCTCTTTTGCTTGTCTCCTTCCTCTTGCGAACTATAGTGGAAGACTTGAATCCCCTTTTGAAGCTCCCTACAAAGAAGCTGACGTAAAATCACGCACCCCATGAGTAGTCTCCCTTTGCCCTTTGGCGCCCTTATTGGTCACTTGACCAGCCAAGCTTGTCACTCTCTCCTTCGCCCGGAGGACGGTTCTGAGAGCGCCTGGGTCCCCTATACGGCACTATATCCTTTTATAGTAAGGTATTGACTACTAAATTAGCTGTATTTGGCATTTATGAAGGATATACCAGCAATATGGTTTGAAATTTTGTCCAAATTATCTGTTTATTCAAGTTGTCGACATGATTTTTCATCTTGTTTACAATTGATGAAATTTTGCATTCATTGCAGGTTCGTTTGCCCGGTTGCTGATCCGCATTTATTATGTCCTAATCGCACTTCTACATGTTCCTCCAGCCTCCGCTGTAAACTTTGTCAGCATTTATCTGAAATTGAATTTAATAATTATTTGTATTCCATTCTTAGACGTGCCAAGGACAGGTCTAGACGACTTTTACAAGTCATGTCTAAACAAAGTGAATCCGTTGATAACCGTTTATTGCTGAGATTCACCGTTCCAGTGATTTACCGGTTGCTACTACAGA